GCCCTATAGTGAAAAAGCCTCTCAAAAAAAAAAAAAAAAAAAAGGATCCTTACCTATAGTGCCATAAGGGCTTGTAAATACACACACACACACACACGAGTATATATTGATATTATATCTCTATATACATACACACATAGATATATGGTCTTCAAAAAAATTCATGGAAAATGCCTATTGTGCAAAGGCCATGGGGCTGGTTCCATGCCCTGGTGATTAAGCCAGATCCCATATGGACAGCCCATGGTGCACATATTGGACCAAGCAGCTTGAGACACACTGGGCACATGTGCACGCATGCCCCAACCCCAGCAGGATGAAGAGATGGAAGAGAAGAGATTATGGCATCACCACACCCATGGGGTGGTGCTTACTCCTCTCTGTGTCTCTGTCTCTGGTGAGCAAACGCACACTCTGGCAAAATTAAGAATAAGAAAAGAAGAAAAAGCCCTATATGAATTTCAAAGTTTTATATAACAAAATAAACTTGTATTTTTCAATTATTTATTAATTTTTATTATTCATTCACTTATTTTAATTTGACTAGAGAGAGAGACACAGATTGAGAGAGCGAGAGAGTGAGAAAGCAAGCCACCGGGTGGGAATGTCCAGCGTCCCACCCACCATGGCACCTGCTGGTCCCTCAAACTCGTATTTTTAAATAGTTATTTTTATTTTATTTTATTTATTTATTTTTTTTAATTAGACCATAGAGGGACAGAGAGTGAGAGGGAAAGTGAGAAAGCAAGCCGCGAGGTCCAGGACTCAAACTGTGGGTGGCCATGTGGGAGTCCAGTGCCCCTGACCACCATGCCACCTGCTGGCCCTCCAAATTCATATTTTAATTCCATTTTTCCTGAATGAAGTTCCTTCAAGTGTGTGTGTGTGTGTGTGTGTGTGTGTCACACACGCGTATGATTTGGCGTAGAGTGTTAGCACATGGCTGCTCATATTAGTGGTATCAGGAGTACCCTGGTCTCCTCGGTGCGCCCTGCTCCTCTGTGCTACCCAGCCATCCTTTCCCGTGGCTGGAAGAGGTCTTCCGGGCCAGGCTGAAACCACCCCTCCAGGAAGCCTGGCAACCACTTCTGTGCCCATGAGTACCTGTTCCACACCATCGGTGTTCAGCACACACCAGCCTCACCAGCCACCCCTTTTCCTTCCTCGTTCATTCGTTCAGTTTGTCCAGCCCTGTGGGGCCAGACCTGGCTCCATGGTGTACCCTGCCCATGCAGGATGAAGGTGCCCCAGGCCATGGCCCTGCTGGGAAGTATGTTAGCAGGGAGATGGATCAGAGTGACAAGGGCAGAAATGGCGGGGGGGGCCCTCTTCTCTGCTGACAGGTGTGGCGGAAAGGGTGCAGGGCAGTCAGTGGCAGTGCTGAGGCCAGCCTTGGGAAAGGAGCGTTGCTTATTCCAGCTGGTACAGGCAGAGAGAGAGAGAAAGCTTCGCAGACAGGTGAGGTGAGGAGGGAGGGAGAGAGGAAGAAAAACCTCCAGGCCCGAGCGCAGAGCAGCAAAGGCACTAGGGGCGGGTTATGTGGCCCAGGAGCTGCAGGTAAGTTAGGCTGAGGAGTGAGTGTGGGCCCATGGGCCCGGGGGAATGCTGTCATCCTCCAGGAAGTGTCTGAGCTTTCGCTCCCCCCTAGGGTGTTTCCTCAGGTCAACGTCACACAGCTGGGCAGTTGGGGCCACTTCAACTGCTCCTACTCCTGCTCCTTCCTCCTGGCTCCAGGGGACCCCATGTTCCCCATCATCGGCAGTCTCTTCCTGAGGGAGCTGACCAAAGAGTTTGGCACAGACCACATCTATGGGGCCGACACGTTCAATGAGTTGCAGCCCCCCTCCTCGGAGCCCTCCTACCTGGCCGCAGCCACCGCGGCCATCTATGCGGCCATGACAGCAGGTACGGTGCCCGGGGAGGTGGGGAAGGAAAGCCCCCCAGGCCCCGAAGGAGACAAGTGGCAGCGGTTCATGGGGACAAGGGAGGGCCTGGGAGTAATAACCACGCACTGAAACATGCAGCACTGGGACCAGCAGATGGCCTAGTGGTTACATTGCTGGACTCCAACGTAGTTGACTGCGATTCGAGTCCTGGACCTGGTGGCTTAAAACTCATGCCAGGTTCATGTGCATGTATGCCCCAAGATCCTGAGAGGAGAATGGAGGAGAAGGGACTGCATGGCCATCCCCCATGGGAGGTGATTTCTTGCTTTCTGTCTCTCCAGTGAGTGCACATGCCCTACAGCAAAAATCTCTCTTAAAAAAAAAAAGAAAGAAAAGAAACAGCACTTTACAGTCTGCTGAGTGCTGCACATCTCATGCCACCCTGGGCCTAGAAGTGAGCACTAGAGCCGGACAGCCTGGCACAAACCCTGGCGTGATCTCCTGCCTGGTGACTTATGACAGGTTTCCGCCCTCCCGGCGTCTCAGCTGTTCACCTGTGAAATGGGCCGTGCCATAGGTGCAGGATGCCTGGCCCAGAGTGAGGGGTCAGTAAGTGGTCTCGACCTTGTGGCTGAGGCAGATAAGGCAAGCCAGAGGTTAGGGGATGTGCCCCAAGCCTGCTGTACAAAGGTGACCCTCCCAGGGCAGGAGTAGAGGGGGCCTAAGTCAGGAAGCACCCAGTGGGGAGACCTCTGTGTTAGCCAGGACGGGAGCAGCTGGGCCCAGGCGTCCGTGGGCAGCCCTGCTCCTGGCAGATCCAGATGAGCCCAGACGAGGGCATCACTGCGTTGGGAGATTGGCAGGCCCTGCCCTAGACCTGAACCAGAGGCTGGGGCCCAGAAGCCTGTGTTTTAACAAGACCTCAGGGTGATTCTGATGCCCTGAACACTACCCTGGAGTTCCCAGCTGGGAGGAAGCGATTGGGGAAGGGCCCATGTGACGCGTCCCACTGGTTGAGGAAGTTACTGTGGAAGGCGAGTCATCACACTTCCCAGACCTCTGTTGCTTCATCTGTAGAATGGGGAGAACATTCCTTCAGCCCCCTGTCCTCTCATCACCTCTCTTCTGTCTTCTCCACCCCAACCCCAGTGGACCCTGGTGCTGTGTGGCTGCTCCAAGGCTGGATCTTCCAGCACCAGCCCGATTTCTGGGGGCCTGCCCAGGTCAAGGCTGTGCTGGAGGCTGTTCCCCGTGGCCGCCTCCTGGTCCTGGACCTGTTCGCCGAGACTCGCCCTGTGTACCTGTACACAGCCTCCTTCCTGGGCCAGCCCTTCATTTGGTGCATGCTGCATAACTTTGGGGGCAACCATGGCCTGTACGGAACCCTGGAGGCTGTGAACTGGGGCCCCAAGGCTGCCCGCCTCTTCCCCAACTCCAGCATGGTAGGCACGGGCATGGCTCCTGAGGGCATCAACCAGAACGAAGTGGTCTATGCCCTCATGGCTGAGCTGGGCTGGCGGAAGGACCCAGTGCCCGATTTGGCAGCCTGGGTGACCAGTTACGCTGACCGGAGGTATGGGGTCTCCCTTGGGGACGCAGAGGCAGCATGGAGACTCCTGCTCAGGAGCGTCTACAACTGCTCCGGCCAGATGTGCAGCGGACACAACCGCAGCCCGCTAGTCAAGCGGCCATCCCTCCAGATGAACACCACGGTCTGGTACAACCGATCGGACGTGTTCGAGGCCTGGCGGCTCCTGCTGACAGCCGCTCCCACTCTGGCCGCCAGCCCCACCTTCCGCTACGACCTCCTGGACGTCACCCGCCAGGCGGTCCAGGAGCTGGTCAGCTTGTACTATGAGGAGGCGAGGACTGCCTACCTGAACAAGGAGCTGGTGTCCCTGTTGAGGGCTGGTGGCATCCTGGTCTACGAGCTTCTGCCTGACCTGGACAACCTGCTGGCCACTGACGGCCGCTTCATGCTGGGCAGCTGGCTGGAGCAGGCACGGGCGGTGGCGGTCAGTGAGACTGAGGCCCAATTTTATGAACAGAACAGCCGCTACCAGCTGACCCTGTGGGGGCCAACAGGCAACATCCTCGACTATGCCAACAAGCAGCTGGCGGGACTGGTGGCTGACTACTACGCCCCTCGCTGGCAGCTCTTCATGGAGATGTTGGCCAACAGCCTGACCCAGGGCATCCCTTTCCAACAGCACCAGTTTGACCAGAATGCCTTTCAGCTGGAGCAGGCCTTTGTCCTCAGTGTGGAGAGGTATCCCAGCCAGCCACAAGGTGACACTGTGGAACTGGCCAAGAAGATCTTCCTCAAATACTTCCCCCGGCAGGTGTCTGGCTCTCTGCGACAGACTGACCACCTCAAGCCATGTTCTCCCTGAACTCCGGGCTGAGGCAGGTTCCTGGGGCCTGGAGCTGGGCAACTCCTGAGAGGAGGATGTGTCAAAAAACAAAACTACAGCAAGCTAAAGACCTTCACTGGCTTTATTTGCGATTATGGACTGAGACAACGCATCATCAAATAGAGTAAGTATTTTGATGAACTGAGCTGAGGAGCTGGGTTTTGTGGAGGAGGCTGAAGAAAGCAGAAACAAAGGACAGTGAGCAGACTGGTCCTCTCAAGGGTACTTTCCTTGCTGGGGGCCAGCAGATGGCTTCGCGGTTACATCACTGGACTCCCAGATGGCCCACCATGGTTTGAGTTCCAGACCTGGTGGCTTCAAAATCACGCCAGCATGTGTGTGTGCATGCCCAAAGTCCCAAGCGGAGAATAGAGGAGAAGGAATTGTGGTGTGGTCATCCCCCCAAAGGGTGATCTCTCGCTTTCTGTCTCTGTCTCTCTCATGAGCGCACATGCCCTATAGCAAAAAATCTCTCTAAAAAACAGTAAAATTCACACCTGGCGTGTGCGTGTGCATGTCCACAATCCTGAAAGGAAACTGGAGAAGGGATTGCCACATGGCCTTCCCCTCCCTCCCCTCCCCCAGTGATTTCTCACTTTCCCTCTCTCTGTCTCTCTCTCTCTCTCTCTCTCTCTCTCTCTCTCTCTCTCTGTGAGCGCACATGCCCTAAGGCAAAAACCTCTTAGAAAAGAAAAAAAGAGTTACTTTCTTTTTAAAACAGAGGTCCTCAGCCTCCAGGCCACAGACCAGTACCAATCCTTATTATTACAATGTAATAATAATAAAAATAGTGTATGGGGGCCAGCAGGTGGCGTGGTGGTTAAAGGCGCTGGATTCCCACATGCCTGACTGTGGTTCAAGTCCCGGACCTAGTGACTTGCTCTCTCGCTTTCTCTCTCTCCCCCCACCCCCGGCCCTCTCTGGTCATTTAAAAGATAATAACAAATGGAATTAGATAAATAAATCTTTAAAAAAATAAAGCGTATGAAAAATGTAATGCATGGGGGGGACAGTGGGTGACATACTGGTTAAGTTGTTGGACTCCCACATGGCCAACTGTGGTTTGAGTCCTGGACCTGGTGGTTTGCTTTCTCGCTTTCTCTCTCTCTCTTGTTCTCTCACTCTGTTCTTGAATAAATAAAGTTAAATAATAAAAGAATTTTTAAGTAATTATTTATTTAATTTTATTTACTCATTCATTTATTTTCATTTGACCAGAGAAAGACAGACATACAGAGAGAAGGAAAGTGAGAGCAAGCCACCAGGTCCGGGACTCAAACCGTGGTCAGCCATGTGGGAGTGTCCAGCGCTTTAACCACTATGCCACCTGCTGGCCCCAAATAAAAGAATTCTTAAAAAAAAAAAAAGGATATGGGGACCAACAGTGGCGTGGTGGTTAAGGTGCTGGACACTCCCACATAACCAACCACCAAGTCCTGGACCTGATGGCTTCCTTTCGCACTTTCCCTCTCTCTCGCTCTCTCCCTCTATGTCTCACTCTGATCAAATTTAAAAAGTGATAATAGGGAACCAGCAGTTAGCGTAATGGCTATGTCGCTAGACTCCCACGTAGTCGACCGTGGTTCATGTCCCGGACCCGGTGGCTTAAAACTCACGCCGGGCGCGTGTGCGTGCGTGCCCAAGATCCCGAGAGGAGAATGGAAGAGAAGGGATTGCGGCATGACCATCCCCCCTGGGGGGTGATTTCTCGCTTTCTGTCTCTAATGTCTCTCTCTGTCTGTCTGGCGAGCGCACGCGCCCTATAGTGAAAATCTCTCAAAAAAAAAAAAGTGATAATAAATGAATAAAGAAATAAATAAGTATTTTTTTAAAAAGAGGATATCCAAGCATAGCCAAAATTATTGGAGTTTTATTGCTAGGCCAGTGGCATACGGGGGTGGGTGGGGACTCATGTCTCTCAAAACTCCACAGCCCCGAGGGCAAAGAGAGGTGCTTATATAGGCAAAAATCACAATTCTGAGTTGTTATGGTAATTACAAGGGAAACTGAGGAGTGGGTGAAGAGGAAAGGGAGTGGGGTTCCCACAGAAAACAGTTACAGAAGGTGAATCAAGCAGGTTACTTATTTCTAAGGAGACTCTCCAAACCTTTGTTTAACAGTCCCCATGGCTCCCGGCAGGGGTCTGGTGATTGGTAGCTACATTGGTAAGGGACATCTAAACCAAAAGGTTTCTGGGCTAGTTAGCAAAGACAGTAAGACTAAGAATCACTCTACTCTGGGCAAAAGGGGGAAGCACGTAAAGTTCAAAGATGGAGGTACTTCTGCTTCATTCTTGCTGAGCTGCCCTCAGAAGAATAGATGTCCCTGGACCAGCCCAACAGCCTCGTGGTGAAGAAGCTGGATCCCACATGGTCAACTACAGTTCAAATCCCAGCTCGAGCACCTTGGAAAACATCCATGCCTGTGTGTATGTGTGCTCAAAATCCCGACAGAGTGAAGAAATGGAGGGGAATGGATTTTGGCATGACTGTACCCCACCGGGAGATGCTTTCTCTCCTCTACTTGTCACTCTCTGTCAAGCACATGTGCATCAAGTTCAAAAAGACTAGCTGTCCTACACATGGCGACCTGTAGTCTTTCTTGTCTCTCTTGACACACTTACTGAGCTCAAACCAGGTTCACTCACTCGTGCACTTGAAGTGGAGCTGTAGGCACGAGTGTGCTGAAGTGTGACACCGTTTTATTGCCATGCGAAAGACAAGGAGCGCAGGCAGTTGATGCAGAACCTCCCGAGATCCTGGAGTAGTTTCAAGCATGTATCATTAGGGACAAAATTAAGGGTGCTGGTTTCAGGCAGATGATCAGCTTAATGACTAGTTAAGACATGACTGTCTCAGGGCCAGCAGGTGGCGTGGGGGTTAAGGGTGCTGGACTCCCACAGGGCCAACCGTGGTTTGAGTCCCAGACCTGGCAGCTTGCTTTCTCACTTTCCCTCTTTCTTTCTCTCGCACTCTGTCCCTCTCTGGTCAAATTAAAATAAATAAAGTTAAATAAAATAATCTTTTTAAAAAAATCTTTCTTTCAAATGAAAATTTTGGGACTCTCTCTCCAATAAATAAATAAATAAAGGGGTCAGCAGTTGGCATAATGGCTATGTCACTGGACTCCCATGTAGTTGACCGCAGTTCAAGTCCCAGACCCGGTGACTTAAACTCACACTGGGTGCGTGTGTGTGCATGCCCAAGATCCTGAAAGGAGGACAAAAACCTCTCCCTCCCCCCCCAAAAAAAAAGAATTTTGGGAATCTCAAGGCCCTTGGGAAATACTGACTTATCTTACTATCACCTCAACTATCCCCTAATTCCTACAGCTAAGAAACTAATTTCTATAACAAACAGAAAGGGAAGAGAGGTTGCAAGTTCTTTGGAAAGAATTCATGTTAGTTCATGAAAATAACACAGACATGGGACCAACAGTTGGCATAATGGCTATGTCACTGGACTCCCATGTAGCTGACCATGGTTTGAGTCCCAGACCCGGTGGCTTAAACTCATGCCGGGCATGTGTGCATGCATGCCCAATATTCTTTGTTTTTCTTTTTAAATAATTATTTTATTCAACTTTATTTATTATTATTATCATTATTATTTTTCAGTTTGATCAGAGAGAGACAGAGAGAGAGAGGAAGTGAGAAAGCAAGCCACCAGGTCCGAGACTTGAACCATGGTCACCCATGTGGGAGTCCAATGCCTTTAACCACCACACCACTTGCTGGCCCCTGCATGCCCAATATTCTGAGAGGAGAAGGGAGAAGGGATTGCAGCATGGCCATCCCCCCTGGGGGGTGATTTCTTGCTTTCTGTCTCTCTCTCTCTCTCTGTCTTTCTGGCGAGCGCATGCACCCTAACAAAACCTTAAAACACACACACACACACACACACACACACACACACACACACACACAGACAGGGGCCAGCAGGTGGCATGGGGGTTAAGGGTGCTGGACTCCCACAGGGCCAACTGTGGTTTGAGTCCCGGACCTGGCAGCTTGCTTTCTCACTTTCCCTATCTTTCTTTCTCACTCTGTCCCTCTCTGGTCAAATTTAAATAAATAAAGTTAAATAAAATAATTCTTTTTAAAAAATATCTTTAAAGTGAGAATTTTGGGACTCTCTCTCCAATAAATAAATAAATGGGCCAGTAGTTGGCATAATGGCTATGTCGCTGGACTCCCATGTAGTCGACCACAGTTCAAGTCCTGGACCCGGTGACTTACACTCATGCCGGGCGCGTGTACATGCATGCCCAAGATCCCGAGAGGAGAATGGAGGAGAAGGGCAAAAACCTCTCAAAAAAAAAAAAAAAGAATTTTGGGAATCTCAAGGCCCTTGGGGAATATTGACTTAACAGAAAGGCAGGGAAGAGAGGCTGCAAGTTCTTTGCAAAGAATTCATGTTGGTTCATTAAAATAACACAGACAGGTCAGCAGGTGGTGTGGTGGTTAAGGGTGCTGGACTCCCACATGGCCAACTATGGTTCGAGGCCTAGACCTGGTGGCTTTCTTTCTCTCTTTCTCTCACTTTGTCCCTGTCTGGTCAAATTAAAATAAATACATTTAAATAAAATAATTCTTTAAAAAAAAAAAAAACAGTCCAAGTGGTAGTGGGGGGTAGGAAGAGAACACTACAGCACCCCTGACAGTGTCTTGATGCCAAGATCAGCCATGGGCATGTGAGTAACCTGTCTAACAATCAGGGAGGCCTCTGGAAGGGAACTGGTAACCTTCCCATTTGGGCCTGCCTCTCAGAGCTTCAGATTTTATCACTGCACTACCACCTGGCCCCAGCACAGACGACTTTGTGTAAGGGGTTTCTGGCTCATAGCAGGAGAGGAGTGATGGCCTCGTTGGAGATTCATTATCACTTGAAGGTTACTTTGTTTATCATGCACTAGAACAGCAATCCCCAACCTTCCTGGCAGCAAGGACTGGCGTCATGAAAGATAATCCCTCCATGGAAGCAGGGGAAGGAGTGTGGGGGGTGTCCCTGGATGACGCAAACGCACCACACCCACTGTGCACCCCATTTCCACCACCACCAGCACATCGCAGTGTATTATAAAATAAAACGATCACACAGTAATAGGGTTCATGAGAACCTAAGAAGCCGATACCTGTTTCTCCCACAGGTAGATGACTCCACCTTGGAGGAGTGCCTCCATTAGGAACTCTTACATCCCTTTCCCAAGATTAAAAGGACATTTTCTCTTGCTAAGGTGATGCCTTAAGATAAGATCCAGTTAGGGACCTTGCCTTGAGCCACGAGACCATTTGGATTTCCATTGTGTTTAGGTAGGGATGGAACATCCCCTTGGGGGTGATTGACCTGCTAACCTGCTTACCCGCTGGTTCTGCCTCTGGATGTGATGAGCTTTTGCTGGCTTTTATACTGTAAAACCCTACCCCTACCCTTTCAAGCCCACCGCTCTTTGTTCTTATGATTGCCCGTCAACCCTGAAAACAGTGTGAATTTTTTGCCTTTATAGGCACCCCTCACCTTGGAGGTTTTGAGAGACATGAGTCCCCCCCTTCATGAGCTGGCTAATCAATAAACTCCATTAAATTTGGCTGTGTCTGGATGTCCTCTTACTTCTCGCTGATTAAGCAATGAAGAGCGACTGTGAGTGCAGAGGAAGCCTCACGTGCTCACTGGCCCACCCACATCTTGCTCCTCAGCGGGGAGGAAGGCATGTGGAAAGAGCCCCATCAGGTCACAAAGTGGCATCAGTCTGCGGCCCAGGGGTTGGGGACTCTGGTCCTGAATATCCTTCAAACAGTTACCTCCAAACATGGGCTAGGCATAACTAAAGTCTGGAGTCTAAAGCTTTTTTGTGGAGACTTTTTTTGCTATAGGGCGCATGCGCTCACAAGACAGAGAGAGAGAGAGAGAGAGAGAGAGAGAGAGAGAGAGAGAGAGAGAGACAGAAAGCAAGAAATCAGCCTC